AATCAAAAGATGTTGAAATAGAAGTGAAAATAAAAAAAATATTTTTCCAAACCCCCCCGCTACGGCCTGGATAAATTATATACATAATTTTAGTGAAAATTATTACGCTAATAATCATTTTCGCGTATTTAATTGTCATTGTTTGCCTAGTAAGTTTGACCAAACGCGTAGGTAATCGTACATGGCGTATGAGGAACTTTACTTCTTGCTCATATTGTGTAGGATATTGTGTAAACGCAGATGTAAAGGAGTATAGGTTAGGACGAAACCGAACTTTATATACCCGGCACAGGTATCAAATAGCGTCCTTTCCACTTTCTCTGAACTACATTTGCATGATAAGCATGGATGTTTTTCCCGATTTCAAACGGTTTCGATAATATGCCGGGTTAGACTTCATGATATAATTGAACCAAGTTTGGTAGCAATCGACAAAGTGGTTAACGAGATACACCTTTGTATGCATAAAGTGGGCGGTACCTACTTATTTACTGTTAAGAGATTTTTGTAACTATTAACTTGGAGTAAATTCGCGTCCTCAGTTACTGAAATATCGCAGTTTTGGTATTTCTGAAAATAAGTGTTATACGCGAAGCGATTGTAATATTATAATCCAATTTGAATAATTTTAAACGAATTGATTTTCAGTACCAATTTTATTAAGTGCACCGAGTTTGGTAGAAATTGATAAATCGGTTACCTAGATACATATTTGTGGTCATAAGTGGGCGGCGCCACACCCATTATTCAAAAATTTATAATAATCTAACTTTCTGCTAAGTGGTTATTGCAATAATCGATTTTGAGTGAATTAGTTTTAGTAGTTACTGATTTATTGCAGTTTTCGCGTTTCTGTAAATTACCGTTATATGAGAGGTGGGCGTAAATACTGCCCGATTTCAAAGATTTTCTACATATTGCCTTCCTAGACCCTAGGCAAAACCCGTACAGAGTTCGGTAAGGATTAGTAAAGTCGCTACTGACATGCAGCAATGCATCATAAGTGGGCGGAGTTACGCCCATTTTCCAAAATTTTCATAACAATTTTCAGCAATTTGCATCCAGTACTGAAATATCCTAGTTCTTGCATTTTTTGAAAATACCGTTATGTGATTCATTTTGGCTGTTACTAGGGATGTGCCGGGTATCCGGTAAATAACCGTTTTTCTGTTATCCGACTATTCTGCCGTATACTACCTAAAATCCAGCCGGATTTCCGGATTACGATTAAAGAAGATTCAATTAAAAATTTAGTTCCGAGATTCAATTTTTTTTGTATACAAGTTTTATTTTTCGAAAAATTCTCAATGAAGTAATTAGTTGGCTAGCAATAATTTGTTACACCAAACGCTTACAAATCCTGCATGGTATTATTTTAGTACTCAAAGATATATTTTTTTCAATAGTATTATTGAGCTTTATACCACGATTTGTTTGTTAGGAAAAATTAAAAGAACAACAAAGCTTAAGCGGTAGATGTTATAGCAGCTATTTCCGGTTGACATGGAACGTCCCATATATATATATATTTTTTTTTTACAACGTTTTTATCAACTTGCAATGTTGTATGTCAAAACCACTATACTATAAATATAGCAAAGGTATTTATGGCAAACCTAGTCTAGATATTAACCTCGTCTTAGGTATCATATCAAAGACATACAATTAGAAAAACTCTAGATGTGGCCTCGCCAGAAGAAGTTAAAAATATGCACTACATACGCTAGAGCGGAAATGGAGAACACGCCATTTCTTTAAATGAAATTATTTGCTGCTATATGTATGTATGTACATATGTAGGCATATACTAAATGTGAGCATACAACATTTTACTTGCATAGTCTTCTGTTCTTTTTACACTGCAAGTTGAATTATTTTAGTATCTATTGCAAAATTTTGTACAGACAAGACTAAAAAGTAGAAAATAAATAAAATAAAATAAAAACGTTTTAATATACAACGCTTTTATAAATGGATTAAAAAGTAGAAAATAATATTTCTCAGTCCCACAGAATTTATTTTGATAACTTTCGATTTTGAAATTTTAGCAACATATAAACAACTAATGGCATTGAAAATGAAAAGCGTGGGGCGCATGTAATACACCTGAATTGATATGAAAAGTAACATATGTATGTATGTGGGCATATGAATAACGACCGCTTAAAATCGATCTCAAATTTGTACTTTCGCTGTAGAATGTTATGTAGTTTGACTATTGTCAATGAAATCGAATGCTTTGTACTGCATGCGCTCCACGTTTTTCGTTTTCAATGTCATTAATTGTTTATAATGACTTTTGCTAAAATTTCAAAAGCAAAAGTTATCAAAACAAATTCTGTGGGACTGAGAAATATTATTACTTTTTAGTCCATCTATAAAAGCGTTGTATATTAAAAAGTTTTTTTTTTTTTTTTTTTTTTTATTAATTTTTAGGAAACTTATTTCTAACAGACAAACAGAAAAGAGATTTCGTGGTATTGGCCAAAATGGCCAATTGTTTTAAGAAAGAATTGTGTATTTCGAAAGACTGTCTTTGAACTAAGATAATTTCCATAATTTCCCTGTTAAGTGGGCTCTGTTTAATCCACTAAAGCCGCTGTGCATCAACCACCAATGGACGTGAGATCAAACTAATGAATTTCGACTACAGACAGCTAGATACATATCTGACGTTGAAGAAGATAATACAAAGTTAAGAACTAAAATTTACAAGTGTGTCCGATTTTTATTAGATCCAAATGCATCGACAACAGCCCATATGCTGAGTCGCCGGAATGAGGAGCCACATATTATATATTGCAGCGAATGCGATAATTTATATCGCACACGGTCTTCAAAGGTGACTCAACTCAAAATTACACGTTCGTCAGAAAATGCGAAAAACTATTTCTTAACACAAGCTAATCATATGGGCAAGGTTTTTTCAACAATTATAATAATAATTTGCTCCAGCTTTTGCTGAAAGGTAAATAAAAGCTCTGTACACATTTTTAGTGTATAATTTCGAAAATGCCAGTGGGTTGTGTCACTTTTGAAGATCGTGTGCAATATAAGCTGGTTAACTTATGTATGTCGCACGAAGTTACACGAATGCGTCTACCATCAAAGTTTTAGATATGCTACGCGCTGCTGACGGTATAGGAAAAGAAAAGTTTATATTGCAGGGAAGAAGACGTACATACTTTAAGGCTGTATAAACTTCTGCAAGAGCTTAACAGTGTAGTGACCTGTGATGGGAATACCCAAAAGTACCGCGAACTCTGACGAATAATCTACGAAAACTAGGTTATGATACTCCTTTGTTCAGACCACTCCGCAGCAAAGCAACATCGCAAAAAAATATAGAAAAAAAAGGTTTTTCTTAGCAGCGGTCGCCCCTCGGCAGGCAATAGCAAACCTCCGAGTGTATTTCTGCCAAGAAAACTAGCTTCTCATAAAAGGACAATCGCCATTCGGAGTCGGCGTGAAACTATAAGACCCTCTCTTTTGTGTGACAACATCAAGGTACTCGCCACAAATCGGAGAAGAAGCTCGGCCAAAAACTAGCATATGTATAAACGCCAATCTATTATTACTATTATTATTCAGCATAGTCCAAGTTATCATAAAGCTTGTTTTATTTCTAAAAATATTGATACGATTTTTAGTGCTTCCGAAGTTTCCAAAAAATAAATGTACAATATGTTGTTCAAATTCGCGAATAGGTATATAAAGGTTCAATACCTAAGGAAGGGGCATTCCCAGCCTTCGTGGCCTTGAACAATAGCAGCTATTCTAAACTTACTTAACCTAACCTAAACTAAAACAATAGTACATGTATGAGTTGAAAAAATTATGTGTTTTACATTGTGGGACAAACTAAGTTTACAGCTCTCGAAATCTAAACACACATAACAATGTTAATACCAAGCAAAATTCTACCAAATATTCTTCACATAGAAATAAATTACATCGTGCGTGTTAAATACGATTTCGCTCTGTGTATTTTATCGCCCCATTCATGCATACAGACGTGGCTGAGTGCCGGTGCACTTCGAATGTTGCAACGCCTAACTCGTTTCACTCTTCGCCACCGTCCCAACGAATACGTTCGCACTCATATCCAACTGGCGAAGTGCAATTTCCTTTGCATCTTCCGCAGCAATGTGGCGATATAATAAATATTTTCTTGATTTCAACTTAGTTGACGTAGCGCAAAAACAAAAAAAAACGACTAAATTTGTGGCATGCCACATGCAGAGTGTTGCGCCACAACATCAAAACACGTATTGCGTGTGTGAATAACACATGTAGAATGGCACAAGTGCACAAATTTACGTGCCTACATACATATTTATGTATATATGTATGTACATACGGGTAAGTATTTACAACAAATCCACTATGTGTAGAAACTTATGCAAGCATATATGTACACATGTGTGCGTGAGTACGTAAGTTTGTAATACATTTAGTCAAATGTAGGCACCGACAAATTTGACTTATGGAAGAAGGGACTTTCGGCTGGATGTACATAAGTCATGCAATAAATCATGCTGGCGGGCAAAGAATTGCTATAATAAATAAAATTAGTGGCAACAACACGCTTGCATCATAAAATTAGAACAACAAAATACAGGAAAGAAAGAAACCCTATACATACAAAAAAGAAAAACAAAACTAAAAATATCAACGTTTGTTCTGCCATTAACATCGCGTGATCTTCTCACTTTCGCAGCAATTATTAAGCAGCCAACTTTGTTTTTGCAAAAGAAATTAAAATCATTACTATCAGCTTATCGCAGAGCGTCGCAGGAGGTGATAACCCTTTCACGCCTACTAAGTGAAGCCAAAACAAAGGAATTTGATATGGGGACTGTGACTCATAGCAACAGTAGATGGAGCCCTTATGGTCTTAAAATTGTATTACAAACAAAAGAAGTTGTTTGCTATTTTTGTTATATATAGTATATATGTATGTATGTATATATTTATGTTTTTTTTAGCTTCTGACTCACCTGTACAACGGTATACCAGCATTATCGCGGAACCATAAGACCATGTAAACGTCACTCAGCGGCGCACTAATCGGACAGGGCAACGAGACGGATTTGCCTTCCACGGCATCGATGTCTTTTGTTTTCACTGTAATCGTAGTTGTTGTCGTCGTTATTTGCATTATTCATGTTCGTATATTTGCGATTATGTTCATTCATATCACACGCAATACAAAGCGTCATCAGTGGTGGTGGTGGTGGTTGCCATGAAATGTCAATCAAATGCAGGCAAAAGCGCAACCATGCGTTTGCGAGTGGGCGCCATACAAAGGAAATCACGTATACGCCATGGTGTTCGCAATATGAAAACATATCCAAGCAAAAGATGGCGATAGCAGCGGTCATGGTTAAATTTTCGTTTGAAAGCAGTTTACAAATGCCGGGTTTGTTGTTAATCACGTCGCATTAGAAGACAACGGTCGTCAATGGTTTTTTGTTATTTTTGTGCATGAAAAGGGAAAAGAAGACGGAAAACGCAGCATGTTAGTATCGTTATTAAATATTATTGTTGAACTAAAAAAAGATTAAATTAATGGATTTTATCAGCGAACTCGATACTGAAACGTAATTGACAGCGGCATTAAGCGAAACTTATACAGAAGTTCAGTTTTGAAAAAGGAAAGAAAACAACAAAACAAAATTATATGGAGACATTTTAGGAGTGACAGTAAAATACTTTGTTTACAACTTAGTAATAAAATACACCTGTTATAAATTTTCGCAAGAAATTAAATTTTACCCACATGTAGATTACGTTACTAACGCTGAGATTTTTAAAAGAAATTCATTAGGTTTCAAAAATCCTCTCAAGCTGAAATCTCTGTACGTAGCTTTAGTCCGCAGTATTCCTTAGTATGGCGTAGATATTTGGCAATAGGAGTGCCAATTAATAATCTAGCATAATTTAAGTGGTTCAAAAATGTTTCCAATTTCGCGCTGGGTAGAACGCACTGGCCAATTGGAAATCGGGCATACGAGTCAAGAAGAAAACTACTTGGCTTTCAGCCACTGGCAGATATGCGTTTGGGGAGTCATCATACAAAACCTCTTAAGCGCACAATTAACTAATTGCTAAGATTGTTCGCCTGTGCAATTCACAAGCTTCGCATCTTAATTTGTGTGTGAATAGAGATACATTTAGGCTTTGTAGACTAGACTGGAATTTAATTGTGCTTTGCTCAGTCCACAAGCATGGCGACCTCGCCATATAATAATAATAATAGATTGGCGCTTACACATATGTTAGTGTTTGGCCGAGCTTCTCTTCCGATTTGTGGCGTGCGCCTTGAAGTTGTCACACAAAGCGGAGGGACCTACAGTTTTACGCCGACTCCGAACGGTATTTTTATGAGAAGCTGTTTTTCATGGCAGAAATACACTCGGAGGTTTGCCATTGCCTGCCGAGGGACGACCGCTGTTAAGAAAAAACCTTTTTTCTATATTTTTTTGCGATGTTGCTTTGGCCAGGGCTTGAACCCAGGCGTTGCGGAGTGGAAGCGCGCACTGCTTACCACTACACCACAGCGGCCGACATATACACCAACTTAAGTACAACCAGCCTTCTAAGCATCAAGTAAAATGTCGTATAGGGCGTATTGCTTGGCAACCGCCAACGAACTGATTGCATTTTGTAAGTATGGCAAATATTGGAAAAAACCTGCGAGAATAAGATCGACACACACACATTCTATTTTCATATTTCAAATCCGGTTTGCCGCGATATCTTAATTTGTTATCCCCGTGAAACTAACAGGGCCTTTTAAAATGATGTTAAACAATTCCACCAGTTCCGTTAGAATGGGGAAGGACCTCTCCGAGCTATTCGATATAAAACGAGGTTTCAGACAGGGCTATACCTTTTCGTGTGATTTTCTTAACCAGATGTTGTAGAAAATAAAAAGAGCCGTCAAACTAAACCACTCACGAACAGTTTATTACAAGAGCATACAATTTCTGGCGGACTCCGATGCTATCGACAACAACGGTAACAAAACACGCGACTCTGTTCTGCCTTTCTCAAGTTTGATAAGGAAGCAAAGCGAATGAGCGTGTTGGTAAAGGCGTTCAAACGAAGTATCTTCGTCGGCGCATTCGCTCTTTGGCACTCACACTTCTCTTGATTGTTATTATTTCGAAAAAGTACAGAATCAGCTGATAGTAATTTTTTGCCTCAAAATCGGACTCAGAATTACCATAGCTAAGAAATGCTGTTTTCCTGTTTGTAGGCAATTGAGAAATAATGACCTCTCACTTTTTACAAAACTCACACTCTACAAGTTAGTTATCATGACCATGATGTCATATGAAGCAGAAGCAAGGAAAATTACTACATCTTATGTCGCGGCCCTTAAAGTATGCGAGGAATGGTTTAGCTTTAGAATGATATAGACATAGTCCAACGCCATTGGATTGGTCATGGCATCAACTCAGAACCCGAAATATTCTTAAACGGTGAATCTTACAAAGGTTGAAGCGCCTATTCGCCCTAAGCTAAAAACGTATACGTATGTTTCAATGGGAGCGCGCGTGAAGAGCAAAGCGTATATGCACGTGTGTTCTCGACGCTATGCTCGATACTAAGCTCGACACTTTGTTTGCCGCCCTACAATTTATGTGGTTAACGTAAGCCTTCATCTCATGAAGTGTTCTTTTGTACTTAACTCATTTACGAATCTTTTCATATTCTTTGTTAATCTGCTGATACTGTTATATTTGTTTAACAAATTCTTCATTAAGCTGCGTTGGCCTACTACAAAAGTCATTCCGCCAAGTTCTTAAGGACAAAAAATGCCTTTCACGTTACTCCCAGACAAAAGCTCTGTCACATGCAACTCGGGAACTGTAGTGAGCTGCCGCTGATTGCTTAACTTGTTGACAGAGCAGTTCACTCTTCACTTGGTATGACTTTCGGGACACCGGGGTATACCAGGCAATGATATAGCGGATGAGCTTTCAAGGAAGGGTACTTTTAATTCACTTTCGCCGTATTGGAAGAGATTGGACATGCCGTGCGTTGCCTACAAGCTCAACATACAGTTATACCTCATCTCAGAAAAACAGGCGAAAAATGGAAACCCCTAACATGGAGAAAGTCATATGGCCGCAAGGGGATGTGAAAAGATAGACGGAGATCCTTGTGCTGAGAAGAGCTGAAAAGGGGCACACTGAGGTCCACGGGCGCCGAAACCAATGAATACCTAAGTGATTTTGCTGGCATAAAGATAAGGCGATAGCATACATTTTTCAATTCCACACTGGTTTAAATAGAACGAGATCCCTCTTGGTAAAACAACGTTAAAAAGTATATAGATATATAAAATAAGATATTTATTAACTGACTCTTCGAAAGTTTTCACGTAACTGTTCAGCAAAATTAAGCATAATTTTGCTGCGCTTAATCGATAATTCACAGAAAATTCGTGGCTAATCACTTAAGAGCTATTAAAACCTCGTTTTTCTGCTGAAATGCGCACATTTCTCATTTTCCAAGTGAGAAAATACACACAAAAATTTGCATCAACAACAATGACTAGCTGAGCAATATGGTAAACTTCATTAAGTCATATGAGTAAAGCTCCATATTCACAGTTTTTTATGTAGGTATATGTGTGTGCTTTCAACATACATACATACATATATAAGGTATGTATCCTTGCATGTTGCATCATTTGAAAATGTGTTTATATATAAGCACATTTATGTACATTAAAGTGGCCCAAAAATGTATTTACAAAAATAAGGTCGGATTTTTAATGCCGAAAAAAATATACCCGTATTTTTTTATTTTGAAATAAAAAAAATTTTGGGAGTGCTCAAAGCGCTCAAAGATTTTCATGTATTTTATATAGGGGAAAAACAACTTTTCGTAGAAATAGTGTGGAATTCTTGAAAATCAATATTTTTCGATCGGAAAACTTTACTTACTTTCAAGAGATTCCCAGTAATAATACCCAATTATTTTTTTAACCATTCTTTTATGGCAACTATATTTTATGGGTCCTCTAAAACCCCTAGAAATGCAATGCAGAAAAATATTGATTTTCAAGAATTTTACACCATTTCTATAAAAAGTTGTTTTATCCCCATATAAAATACATGGAAAAATTTGAGCGTTGTGAACACTCCCTAAATATTTTTTGATTTCAAAATAAAAATAGGGTTATATTTTTTTTGGTTCAAAAGAATCCTAAAGGGTGGAAGCATTAAAATTCCGACTTTATTATTTTGGACCTCTCTAATGTACATACGTGTATGTATGTATGCATATGTGCACATTTAGTATGTAAAAAGTGTCGTTTGTCGCGCTGACTTAATGGCGCATGCCTCATTAACTTTCTTTAGTTTAAGCACAGACACACTCACACACACACACACATGTATTAATGTGCTCATAATATTTGTTACAAGGCTGCAGTTGGCTGGGTGCTTGATTGCCTGCTCTGTCAGCTTGCCTTTGTTTTCCCCCACGAACGTTGCCATATTTTCCCGCTGACGTCGTTGTTTATGACACTAATGAGTATAAAATGAATAATAAGCATACGACAAGCACATGTATGAGAAGCCTCCGTTTGTTACCTTAAACTGATGATGATAGGAATAGTGTGACGCGAGCGTACATACATGGTTGCATAGAAAAATGCCAACAAGAAAGCCAAGACAAGTATTACAAAAATTTAATTAACCAAAAAAATTTAATATATTAATTTGTTAATATTATTTTATTAATTTTAATAACAAAAAGTTATGTTTATTAATAAACTTAAGGCTTTAAAAATTTATGCAAAAAATCGGTATACAAACTTGCTTCTTAATTTTGTAAGGTAAAATATTAAGCCCCAAGTTGGCAGTAAATTTTTTTTCTATATTTATAGAAAATTAGGTTTAGCACACCTCAAATGTGCTGAAAATTCTAAGGAAATCTTGAAAATGTCTCACAAAAATCTCAAAAAACCGTGACAACTTATAATTAAATTTATCACTGCACAAAAAAAAATAATAATTTAAAAGGCACCCCTTATTTGCTGCTCAAAGAGCATCAACAAAATTTTAACTTAGGGTCAAATTCACAGTGCGTAGTTAACTCATAAT